TCCTCCTCCTCTTCCTCTTCCTCTTCACCCTCATCCTCCTCCTCCTCCGCCTTCTCCTCTCTGCTCATGGCTTCTGCATTGTATGTCTTACAGGCCGTGCCCGACCAATTACACCTGTCTGCCTCACATCGGCGAGAATCCGAACTTTGGCTTCACGAGCTTCGATGACTTCGGATGGGCGATGCTCACCTCGTTCCAGCTTATCACACTCGACTTTTGGGAGGACGTTTACAACAAGGTAACCAGTCAAGACGATAACTTATTTGTTTGTTTGTTTATTTGTTTAGCTGATTGTTTAGTTTGTTTGTTTTCTTATTTATTTCTCCATTTATTTATTTATTCATTAATTCAATTGTTTGTTTAGTTGATTGTTTAGCTGTTTGTTTGTTTATTTAATTATCTATTATTTAGTTATTAATTCATTCATTTATTCATTTGTTTGTCTGTTTTTGTTTATTTATTTATATCGACTAGAAATTCTTTAATTGGATTTCTTGATAACAGCGTGTCTTGAGCCTTCGATAACACACCAAGCCATTCTTAGCATGTAAATCACGTCTATTGATTGATTGAATATACGTGTGTAAAACAGAGACAAGCGGTTGCTTGTCCGTATCGAATCGGTATATGCATAGGTGATATATGCACCCATATCACTCACGCGAATATATGAAGAATGGGTAGCGGCATGAATAGCATGACTTACCCGATAGTAGTAACAGAGCAGGTTGAATGCATACGTTACGAGTAAACGACAACAGTACAGGCAATGTAGGTGCACCTGAATGTACTGCAATGTACTGCAATGTACTGCAATGTACTGCAATGTACTGCAATGTAGGTGTCTCTGCTTCTCTCTGTAACGAAGTTACTCTGGGGGGGAGGGCTCTTCGCGCCCCATTATTTCCTACATGCGTGTATTATATACATACATACTCAATACTCTTATTATCTTATGACGTACTTATTACCTCCGCCAAGGGGTTGGCAGGAGGTTATGTTTTCACCGGCGTGTGTTTGACTGTTTGTTGGTTTGTGGGGATGTGTACAGCCTAAATGAAAAAGTTATGGACGGATTGTCATAAAATTTTCAGGATAGGTCAGAAATCGCCTAATATAGAATTGATGAGATTTTGGTGGTGATCTGGATCCAATTAATTAATTCAATTTTCAGGATAGGTCAGAATTGGGGTAACTTAGAATTGATTACATTTTGGTGGTGATCCGGATCCAATTAATTAATTAACTAATTAATTAATTAATTAAATTTTCAGGATAGGTCAGAAATGGGGAACGTAGAATTTATTACATTTTGGTGGTGATCCCGATCCAATTAATTATTTAATTAATTAATTAATTAATTAA